ATATTGCCAGAACCTGAGCAAGCTAATTATACAGAGACTGGATGATTTAGAAGAAGCTTTGACAATAACTACTCAATCTAATGCATCAAATGACAATTGTCATAACTGTCCTCCAACAGTTATGAAGGCCAGTGCAAGAAAAACACTTAAACATCATGTCATGGAATGTAGCCGGGTGGTGTCATTTCAGAGGCCTTAATCACTCTGATCCTCTGAAAGGTAAGGATATTATATTGGTGCAAGAAACTTGGACTACTGATGATCTCCTGCTTAATGGCTTTTATTCATATAAGCTGGAAGCAAGGACAGGCAGAGACCCAGGGAGACTGAAAGGAGGGCTGGGTATATTTATTTCTACCAACCTGAGAGCAGAGTCCACACTTATTACTCCTTTAAACCATTCAGCTATAGCTCTTCTCCTCAAGTGGGACTCAGTCCTGTTCTTGATAATTAATGTTTATCTCCCTACTTCACCAAGAAAAGCTGAAACCGCTGCTGTATGGCTGGAGTTGGAACACTACATTAATAAACAACTCATGGAACACCCAAATGCCAGGGTCCTACTAGGGGGAGACTTTAATGCCAGATTGGGACGAGATGATTATACATTATTCATGAAACATCATCAATACCCACCATCGGAGGTCCCTATACAAACCAACACCCCCCTCACACGACTCTCTAAAAACATTAGAGCTAACTATGCTGGCCTCTGTCTTGCCAAGTTGGCAAATAAATTTAACTTCTTCATATCTAACGGTTCATGGCCTGGTGACTATCCTGGCGAGTTTACATTCATGGCAGGGTCCAAAACTAGCACCACTGACTACATCTTAACATCTATGGACTTAATACATTATATAGAAAATTTTGAAGTCCTGCCTTACCTAGAAAGTGATCATCTTCCTCTGTGTATATACATGAAGCCCTTTATCAGGCAGATTCCCTCCAAGGACCATTTTATCCCTGCAATCTCTACACCGGGCCTAACAAGATGTCAGGTCAAATGGACCCAACAACTTGATCAGAAGGTAAGGAGAGCCCTAACAGAGGATAATTTTCAAAAAATCCACGCAGCCTTTATATCAGCCAATCCGACTCAAGATTTATTAAAACTATATAAAAGTTTGGTTTATGAGCTACAACCATTATTAACAAATGACCGAAATTTCTCAGTTAAGAGGTCCTGTACCACCTCCAAACTATGGTTTGATAAGGATTGCATAGAAGCCAAGCAAGCCCTTAACTCGGCATACAAGGAGTACAAAAGCGAGACTGGGTGTGGTAATAAAGCAATTCTTAAACAGCTACTTACACTTAAAAAACAATTCAAGCAATTGATTGCATTCAAGAAGAGACAAGACACAAGGTCTTCCTGGGAGCAGCTCATTGTGGCAGCAAAGCAAAAGAACTCTTCCTTATTTTGGCGTCTAATAGTTTTGCCACTCTGAAAGAATCTATACCCCATTAGACTGTCATATATCTCTTATAACTGGGAACTCCATTTTCGGAGAATGTATGAAGACCCCTCCAGCAAGAGTACAAGGTCTATAATGAAGGATTTACCAGAATAGCCTCCAGTTTCAGAGTCTGAAATCAAATCCCTCATTGGCCAACTCAGGATCGGGAAGGCTCCAGGAGCTGACTTCATTTCGGCCGAATTACTAAAGAATAATATGGAGTGGTGGATACCCGTCCTGGCAGCGCTATTCACCTATATTGACTCCACCAGCCATGTCCCAGAGGATTGAGGCTTGGCAATTGTCCCAATTTATAAAAAGGGAAAGAGAGGCAACTCTGCCAACTACAGACCAATAAGTCTGCTAAATATAATCAGCAAACTCTATGCCAGTGATGGCGAACCTTTTAGAGACCGAGTGCCCAAACTGCAACCCAAAACCTACTTATTTATCGCCGGGTGCCAGGTGGGCATGGCCCACTGGGTGGGTGTGGCTGTGGTGGTCATGGCAGACTGGGTGGGTGTGGCCAAGGTGGGCGTGGTCACCTTGATGTTGCTTATGGGCAGGGATGCCTGTGGGGGCCGGGCTGGGTTGGGGGAGATCCAGGGGGTCTCTGGCAGGTGGGGCGGTGGGCAGGAGGCTCATTTTGCAGAGTGAGGTGAGGCAGGGTGGGGGTGCCATTGTCACAGGGCAAGGTGAGGCAGGGGCCGGGGCGGCTGCTGCCTGACACCATCAGCCCCCGCACACAGAGGCCAGCAAGCGCATGGGGCCGACAGTGTCCGTCAGCAGCCATAGCCTGCCGGCCCCTCAATCGGCACACTCTGGGGCTCTGCAGCCTGCCACCATCAATTCAGAGAAGCCGCATCTGAGCTGGAAGGCCAGCCGACAGCTGAGGAGGTGATGCAGTGGGTCGTGCCTGGGAAAATGAGAGCATGTGAGGCCAGGAGGGATGGGACAGTGGGGAGGGAAACCAGCTGTGCTGCGATGCATCCGACCACGTGGGACCTCAACGAGTTAGCAGGCAGCTGGTTGAAGAGGGATGGTTGCCATCTCTGGGGCATGGCATGCGTGCCCACAGAGAGGGCTCTGAGTGCCGCCTCTGGTACACATGCCATAGGTTCGCCATCACTGCTCTATGCCAAACACATTCAAGATAAATTAAAGGAGTGGCTGGACCTTGAGAACCTGATTGCTGAAGAACAAGCTGGGTTTAGAGAGGGGAGAGGCACCATCGATCAGTGCTTAGTTCTTCATCGTTTGATTGAAAAATATGCATCAGATAGGCCTGTATCATTATACACTGCCTTTATAGATCTTAAGGCAGCTTTTGACACGGTTACAAGGACAAAGCTATAGGAGAAGTCGGAAGCTGCCACAATTGATCACAGACCCTCCATCTGTTATATGCCTTACATACCAAAACATCCCTCAAGGTGAGGTGTAATATGCAAGAGTCTCTCTTGAGGTCAGTTGAAACTCAAAAGGGGGTTAAACAGGGGGTGCATTTTGGCCCCCTTTCTCTTCAATTTTTACATAAATGATATGGTAAAATGGTTAAATAATCCAAATTACCACCTCCCAAAAATAGGTGATCGAAGCATTGCTCTGCTACTCTATGCAGATGATGCTGTGATTCTCTCCAGACTCCAGTTGGCCTTAAAACAGCTTTGCAAGCCCTTGTCCAGTATTGCAAATATAATAAACTGGACATAAATTATGAGAAAACAAAGGTTATGGCTTTTGCAAAAAGGCCAAAACAGTACTCATGGTATTTAAATAGCCACAAAATAGAGCAGGTAACCACCTTTAAGTACCTAGGGGTGGTCATCCATGCCACTGGTTCACAAAAAGCTCATGGAGAATACATGGCTGCCTCTGGCCAACGATCAGCGAGTGCCATTCTTAATTTTTTCCTCACAAAGGGAGGACACTATGTTCCAGCAGCAATTAAGCTCTTTCTGGCCAAGTCGCTAGCACAGCTTCTCTACGGGACCTTGCTCAGACCTTCAGCTTCATGTTTTACACCACTGGAAAGAGTCCAATCCAAATTTATCAGAACAATTCTCCAGATGCCGCGCTGTGTCCCAAATGCACTTCTGCGCCTGGAGACAGGATTGATAAAAGTCAAAGCTGTATAGCTTCCTTAAACATCTGGCTAAGGCTTAATTGCTTTCTGCAAGGCCTTGCTCCATTAATTCTACAAGATAATTTTTCCTCTTCATGGATCAAGGCAGTCGAGTCCAACCTTGCCAAACTAGGCTTCTCCCCAGCCTCAATACTCAAATTGGACTACGACCAAGCAAAACAAACCATGTGTCAAAGGGTAGAGGACATCGAGAGGCAAGCGGACTTAGGTATAGCTCCCCTGTTTCTGGCTCCAGGTTCTATTAGATACGTGGTTACATCTGCCAGGTATCTTAGTCAATTGGAGTTAGTAAATCACCAGAAAGCATTCTCGCTTGCACGGTGCCATACGTTTCCATCAGCCGTCCTGTACAGCAAGTATAAAAAGACACCACTGTCTGAAAGACTCTGCTCCTGTGGCTCAGGAGAGGTGGAGACCATTGGACACATACTTCTTCAATGTTCCTTCTACAGAGCCATTCGGAAAAACCATATCCTCCCCATAATTGATAGGTATCCAGGTCATTCGGAAAGTATTTATCTCCAATGGCTGCTTATGGATGAGCAGGCAGTGATCATGGCACAGATGGCTAGATTCTCTGCAGCAGCATTGGGGATTTGCCAGAAACATAAATAATCATTTTAGATCTTTTTAATAATCTTTTATAATTGATTTTATTATGTGTTTTATCCAGTTTTAGACTATACTCAATGTATTTTTATTGTCAGGTCAGTATGATTCAGTTTTTCTGAAGCTAGCTTGTTTTTGATATACTGTCTGTAAAACTAGGCAGACCTTGGTCGCCCATTGATTGCATCATTGATTGTGATGTATTGCTATGTCCACTTGTGATGGTTCTGTTTAGTTTTGTTTTATTTGGATGTTTAATTTATGTGTGGCCTTTGGCTGTAATAAATTGATTGATTGAAAAGTTAAATGTTAAGGGGGAAAATTGTAAGATTTTGTAAATGAAGCTTATGAATATTACCTACAGGATAGATTATGGATTCCCTTTGCTAGATCAATTCAAGCAAAGTCTGATTTTGAAATGCATACTTTAATTTGGATTCTCACATAGAACAATTGATTGAACTACATGTTTTTTCAGTTCCTGATTGCAATCTCAGCTTGCTGTTTTTCATTAAACCAAACAATATTGTGGGAGAATAGGCTAGAAACTGGGAGATTGTGAGTTGCTGTCCTGTCTTGGGCACAGAGGCAGCTGGTGACCTTGGAGCAGTTACTTTCTCTCAGCGCTAGGAAGGAGACAAATGCAAAACCACTTTTGAAGCACTGTGTCAAGAAAACTGCTGGGACCTATCTAGGCAGTTCTGAGAATTGATATAATAGAACAGAAAAAAAATCAATCACACACAAATACTGACAGTGGCAATTATAATGGCAATGATATTTACCTCCAAGTCTTGATCTGACAGAAATATCAGCTACTGCTCTAGCATTCCACCATTGGTCCTGATTTATTTCTTTCAAGAATAAGGATCTCCTATCAGCAGTTTGGACTCTTCTGTAAAATACAGGTTCCTGCTTTGAAGAATGTGTATCTTTTCCATCTTGCAGGGATTCATAAGCTTTGTTATCTAAGATTTGTTGTTCAACTTTACCACCTGGGCTCACAGATCCTGAACAAGGGTTGATTATTGGCACATCATTCCGATGCGGTGCTAGAAGGTAGTTCTTATCTTCAGGAGGAAGGAAAGGATTGGATTTAAGAAAAGTATTACTGTCTTTCTCTTGGAAACTGGCAAAGAAATGCCTGTCTTCAGGTCCCCGTACAAAAGGCATATACATTTTCTTCAACAGATCTTTGTGCTGGTTTAGATGCATCTTGTGAAGTGAATCAATTGGAGTTAAGCATGAATAAGGATGAAAATGTCTTGCAGTGACTTGAGAATCCATGGTTAATTTTTAACTTGATTTAATAATTTTCATTAAAACTGTGAAGTTTTGATAAGATTTAATAACTTTCATTAAAATTAGAAATCATAGGCTCAACTGCAAATCTATTTTTTTTTTAAAAAATGTAGTGCTTCTTTCTATAGCTGAAATAAATAAAGGCAATGGCAAACCATCAAAGGAATGAAGCTTCATATATACAAAGATTCTCAGTTGCTTAGTGACAGTGGAACATGAACACATAATGTACAATAAGTATATGTAATGCTCTTTTGCTCTGTAAGTGAAGAAACGTTTCACTTTCACACAAATGGTTTTTATTATCACAGTATTTGTCTATTCTACACCTATATTTGGATAGAATAGAATAGAATAGAATAGAATAGAATAGAATAGAATAGCTTTATTGACCAAGTGTGATCAGACACACAAGGAATTGGTCTCCAGTGTATAAGCACACAGTGTGCAAATAAACAGAAAGTAATAGGCCATAGATCATAATCATAGTTACAATCATTACTTATAAGTTACAAACAACAATTGATAAATCATAAGAAACCAATAGGCGAAGATAGTAGGAAAGATAAGAAGATGAGAAAAGATGAGAAATGAGATAATGCTGTGGAAATTAAGTGTTCAGCAAAGTGATGGCATGAGGGGAAAATATATCCCTGGTTGTTTTGGATGCAATGCTCTATAGCGGCATCCTGAGATGAGAAGTTGAAATAGATTATGTCCAGGATGTGAAGGGTCTGTAGATAATTTCTCAGCCCTCTTTCTGGTTCATGCAGAATACAGATCCTCAATGGAAGGCAAGCTGGGATGTTGACTGTTTCTGCTAGTTTAGAGTCATCTGCAAATTTCTATTCTCTCACCTAAATTATTTATGAAGAATACTGGGCCTAAGACAGAACCCTGTGGTATCCCACTGCTTACTTCCCTCCATGTAGTAGTATGTAGTACCATTAAGGATGACTCATTGAGTATGGTTTGACAGCCAGTTATAAATCCAACTGGTGGTGATGCTGCCTATCCCACATTTTTCTAGCTTATCAAGAAATGGGTTGTGGTCTACTTTGTTGAATGCCTTGCTGAAGTCTAAATATACTATGTACACAACATTTTGCTGGTCTACTAATCAAATAATGAAGTAAGATTGGTTTGGCATGATCTATCTTTAACAAACCCTTACTGGCTTTTGGTTATAATGTTATTTGTTTCTAGATGTTTGCAGATCTGTTTTTTTATTATCTGTCAGAACCCATTCCTATTTCATTTCTATCTATCCCCTCTGACTTAAAAACAAATCTCACCTTTCCCTGGGTTCTGCCATACCCCCAAGGGGGAGGGGGGATGTGCCTGCGGAGTTATTGCTTTTGCTTCCTCTATTTGTTACAATGTAACCTTTTGTTTTGTTTATTGCCTCTGTATCCCCTGCCCTCTACAATGTAAAAAATTGCTTCCTGCGCTATGTCTTTTTCTGAACTTTATCTTCCTAAACTGTCAGTTAGAATAAGAGAGGAAATAAGGAATGTAACCCAGTGCCTGGTTTATTTCTACGCTCTCAGAGGAAGGTGTGAAGAAGCCACTAACCATTGCTGCATGAACTGGAGATGGGCCGATGTTATCTCCCCTTTCCCATGATGGACTTAACACCTGGGGATTGGCCGTCCCATACCGGCTGGGCAAACTATGGGGTGGTGTCTAAGTTGGGGATACCTTAATCTATCATTCTGCATGGGAAATCTCAAATCGTGTCTATTATGCCTGCTATCAACTATACTTAATAAAAGTTCATGTTGGAAGAAATTGTCTCCAAGAGTTCTGCTTTCTTAAGATGTGGGGTTGAAGTGGGTCCTTACATTAGACAGGATCTGCAGTAATAGTCAACCTGGAAGGAAGACCCTTACTGGGGGACTTTGCAAAATCTACAATGTTGGATGATGGGGCAGGGAAGGAAGAACCCACCATGAAAGGGGAGCCCTCCCTCTGGCAGAGACACTGCCAGCTGTCGTGATAAGAGATGTCATACTCCTCAGAAGAGGAAGTGGTGGAAACGCATGACCACCACAAACCTCGGTGGTCGATGGGTGTTGGCAAGGAAGATGAGTGGGAAAATAAATCAAAGAAGGTGACCCTGAGGTGGGGGCGATAACCCAAGTAGTCTATTCTTTCCTGATGGAATTCGCATTTCGATAATTTGGCATATAGGTGGGCAGCTCGCAGTTTCTTTAAAACCATTCTGACTAGACACATGTGCACGATCAAGGATGAACTGCCATGGGTGGGGGAGAAGTTATATATACCAGCCACCGAGAGGGTCACTTTCATGCAGCTATGCCATGATACAAAATCAGCAGGGCATTTTGGATTTGTAAAAACGTTACATTTGATTAAAAGGCAATTTTGGTGGCCATCCATGAAAAAGGACATAGAAAGTTACGTGGCCAGCTGCCCAATTTGCGCAGCTGCTAAGAGGTTGCAAGGAAAATTGCCCAGACTGCTACAACCAGTGGTGAATCCCTCAGTCCGCCGGAAAGAAATATCCATAGATTTTATAGTGGAACTACCAAAAAGCAATGGAAACACTGTCATCTGGGTGGTTACAGACCTGTTTTCCAAACAAGTGCATTTTATCCCTTGCCAACATGTTCCTACCGCAAAAACCTTAGCGAAACTATTCGTGCAGCACATTTACAGACTGCATGGGGCACCCCAACGCATCATATCTGATAGGGGAGTGCAATTTACATCAGAATTTTGGAAGGAATTTTTATCCCTCTTAGGAACCACTCAGGGGCTATCATCTAATCATCATCCTCAATGCAATGGATAGACGGAACACTCAAACTTGAGTAATACTTAAGATGCTTTATTAATTTCCAGCAAACGAATTGGATGGAACTACTCCCTTTTGCAGAAGATGCTTACAATAACGCAGTCCACTCCAGCACAGGCTATACCCCCTTTCAATTAGCCACCGGTCAGAATTTCAATCCGATGCCAGAACTAACCCCAAACAAACCGGCAATCCCATCGCTGAAAGAATGGATATCACAATTACAAAACACCTGGCCAGTGGTTAGGAAAGCCTTTGATGAAGCTAGGCAAACATACAAAGCACAAGCGGATAAAAAAAGAGTCGAACCACTGTAGGAGAAATGGTATATTTGCCAATAAAATACCTAAAATCCCTACAGCCCTGTAAAAAACTTGGTCCAAAATATATAGGACCTTTCCCAATTAAAAGAATCATAAACCCAGTAACAGTAGAATTAGAACTACCCAAAAACCTCAGGCAAATACACCCAATTTTTCACTGCAGCTTGCTGAAACGAGAACAACAGTCACCCTTATGGCCAAAAACCCCCCATCACCACCTCCAATCATGGTTGAAGGAGAACAACACTTTGAGATAAAAGAAATCCTAGATTCTAGGAAGTATCATGGGGCAACTCAATACCTAGTAGCATGGAAACACCTTCTCTCCTCACAAAACAAGTGGGTCCATAAATGTCACGTCAGAGCACCTAAACTACTAAAGAAGTTTCATACAGAATATCCTAACAAACCAGACTAACCTCTATACCTGTTTTGTTTTCTCTACAGGTAGATTTCTCCTATTTTTAAGGGGGCAGGATGTCAGAATCCATTCCTATTTCATTTCTATCTATCCCCTCTGACTTAAAAACAAATCTCACCTTTCCCTGGGTTCTGCCATACTCCCAAGGGGGAGGGGGGATTGCCTGCGGAGTTATTGCTTTTGCTTCCTCTATTTGTTACAATGTAACCTTTTGCTTCATTTATCGTCGCTGTGTCCGCTGCCCACTACAATGTAACAAATTGCTTCCTGCACTATATCTTTCTCTGAACTTTATCTTCCTAAACTGTCAGTTAGAACAAGGGAGGAAATAAGGAATGTAACCCAGTGCCTAGTTTATTTCTACACTCTCAGAGGAAGGTGTGAAGAAGCCGCTGACCATCACTGCGTGAACTGGAGATGGGCCGATGTTATCTCCCCTTTCCCATGATGGACTTAACACCTGGGGATTGGCCATCCCATACCGGACAGGTGGACTATGGGGTTGGGTCTAAGTTGGGGATATCTTAATCTATCACTCTGTGCGGGAAATCTCACATCCTGTCTATTATGCCTGCTATCAACTACTTTTAATAAAAGTTCCTGTTGGAGGAAATTGTCTCCAAGAGTTCTGCTTTCTTAAGATGTGGGGTTGAAATGGGTCCTTACATTATCTTTTCCAGTATCTTCCTAGATATTGATACTAGGATGATTGATTTGTAGTTTCCTGGGTCTGGTTTTTTTCCCTTTTTTGAAGATGGGACCACATCAGCTCTTTTCCAATCCTCAGGTAATTTCCCAGTGTTCCAGGATTTTGAAAGATATGGTACAATGGTTCTGAGATAACATCTGTCAGCTCCTTCAGAACTCTGAGATGTAAATCATCAAGGCCCAGTGAATTATATTAATCAAGATCAAATAGGTGTTCTCTGACCATTTTCTTGCTTATTTTAATTTTTATTTCTAGTCTGTCACTTACAGTTAGGTTTTTGGTAGATTGGACTATAGTTTCTTTTTGCATGATGACTGATGCAAAAAAATGAGTTTAACAGCTCTGCTTGCTCTCTACTGCCTGTTACATCCTTGCCATCTTCTCTCTTAAGTAGACCTATTGTTTCTTTAACTTTTTCTTGTTATTTATATATTGAAAGAATCTTTTTTTATTATCTTTGGCTTTTGTTACAAGTGTTTGTTCATTCTGAGCCTTAGCTTTCCTGACTCCATCTTTGCAGTTTTGGGTTAACTGCTGGTAGTCTGCCTTAGTTATGTGCCCGTTTCCATTTTTTGTACTTATCCTTTTTGTCTTTCAGTTTATCAGAGAGACCTTTATGCAACCATGCTGGTTTCTTCTTGGATTTCTTGTTTTTCTTTTTCAGTTTATTGTGCTCAACTGGGCTTTATGATCATATTTTTCAGAGTTTCC